AACCGCCTTTACCCGTCGGCCCGCAACCAGATGACAACCGCCTTGAAACAGGGAATCGCGCGCTTTAAGTCTGTTTCTGCAAACCAGCTTGCAACCGCCTTTACCCGTCGGCCCGCAACCAGATGACAACCGCCTTGAAACAGGGAATCGCGCGCTGAGTTGGTTTCCGCAAACTAGTTAACAACCGCCTTTAAGCGTTGGCCCACAACCGGATTACAACCACTTTGAAACAGGAAATCGCGCGCCGTGAGTCGGTTTCTGCAAACCAGTTTGCAACTATCTTTGTACGTCGGCCCGCAACCGGATTACAACTGGTTTGAAACAGGGAATCGCGCGTTGTGAGCTGGTTTCCTAAAACCAGTTTGCAACCACCTTTACCTGTCAGCCGATAACCGTATTCAAACCATTTCGCACTCAAGAACTTTCATGTGGAATTCGGTTTTCAGAAACAGTTTCTAGGAGGCTTTTACCGTCCAAAAAATGTTTTTGGTACATTTGTCATTAAAATCAGATTCTGAGCCACTGTAGTTCTAGAGGTAGAATCTCAGGTTTGACTGAATTCTGTAAGATACAAATTATGGGACAGGCTTGTCTTGTTGTCTTTATCTTGGCAGTAAACCATATGTGATGGCCTAAACAGAAATATTTCCTCAAACCCTAACGAATCCAGCCCAGGCAATTTGTTACTGTTGATTGTGATGGGAATTATGTGAGAAGAAAAGTGTGAAGTAGAGACATTTTTATTTATTCATTACCAGTAGTTATTTACATTTCTCAAATACTACTCAATTGTACAAGCATATGCAATTTTTGCTATATATTGCTTGCTTCGTAACTGTATTCTACAACAGGGTTTATCTAATCTTTCAACATTCAGAAGGACCTTGTCACCTGAGTCTACGGCTCTAACCACATGATCAAATCTGGTATCCGGAATCTCAACAACAGGTGTCCCCACTATTCTAATAAGTTCACAATTCAAAAGCACTCTATTACCAACAGGATATTTGATAATGTGTAAAATTTTAACACATTCACCTGAATCTAAAAATGCATAAGAATCATTATTTTTCTTCCCTTGTCCATAACTTGCTGTTGAATATTTTTTCTTTTTAAAATACATTCGGTCATACATGAGGCATTGACTTGTCGAACCACATTCTACAAGCCTGGACAATTTTTCAAAATCATTCTGAGAAAGTGATTTTAGAGTTGGTTTGCCCAAAAGCACACAGTTGTTATCACTGGCTCGATCATACTTCACTAAATGCTTGTAGTTCAACAATTTGTCACAAAACAGAACAGTCTCCTTACCTCGAGCCAGTGCAGAGCACACAATTGGGAGAGATTGGTACATCAGGAACTTACGAGCTACTTGTAATGGTACATGGTGAGGGCTTTTAACCAACTGAAGAATGTCCCCGTTCTTTGATTCATAGGAAAAACTATTGTGAGTCCACAGTGGCCCAAACGATAAAACACATTTAGGAATGTGACTCAAGAGGTGAATATTGTAAACCATGTTTCTTTCAGTAAATGACTCTTGGAAATAAAATGAGTACAACTTAAACAGGCCTAAAGCAGTCTCAATATCGCGACGAGTGACTGTTTTCTGAAGAAGTAAGTTAGCCGCTCTACTTAACATTGCTAAATGTTCTAAATGTTTTTCCTTCAAAAAACCCTTTAAACAGACAATACAATAAAATAATAACCACGATCTGTACTCACTGGCTTTCCAATGAGCAATATCTTTGAGAGGTCGAAGATCCCTAATCACAGAGGTGGTTGACTGGATTTTTAGAATACCCTCATCAATACTAGCTATGAGATTGTCCATGGCATCTTGTTTTTTCATATTATTAAAATAACTTTTATAACCTCCCCCAAGAAGCAACTCCATATGCCTTTTGGTGACCCCAATCAAAACACAATGAAAGTAATCAACTGGACATGACTCTGTGATATCAAAATAGTGTAAGCGATTCAAAACACAATTACCTCTTACCCCTCTATAAGCTCTGTTCTTCTCCTGGATCTCATGCTTTCTCGCCTCAACCTCGACTAAATCTAGCTTATAACTATCAAGAGTGCGCAGTGGTGCTGGCGGCTGAGTGAGATCAATAAGATAACGTTGGACACCTATTCTCTCTGTCTCATGATAACAATATGTGCAGCCAAAAATAGCTCCAAACATCTGCATGTTGATTAACTTGTACCTAGCACCACTATCAGCTATAAGGCATAATGGAATTACTCTACTTGTAACATTTTCACCATTATGATTCCATTTAAAACCGTTAACAGATAACTGATTAGCCTGAGAAACAAATGCTGGAAAAAACCACTGCTCATTTGGGTCCTTATTACCACAATACACTGCAGCTAAAATATAATAATTTTTCCTTTCTTCATATGGCAGTTCATTTATTGTGAGGTAAATAGGCCAAATAGTTTTGGCTCCAGATTTAGAATATGCAATACCGTCAGTAAAAAAAGTATAAGAGAAATTATATGGTGAAGACAGGACACCATTATTGTCAAAATATTTTTGGTACATAGCACCATCATAAATATCACTGTACACTCCTGGGATGTACTGCCTGTTAAATCTATACCGCATAATGTTATTTACAAATTTTTCATCTTTTACAAACTTTTGCAGCTGAGATTCGATAGAGACACTAACTAAGTTATCAGTCTCACTCAATTTAACATCCTTCTTACACTGTACATTAGTACAGGTTCTTACTTGCACCTTGACTTGCCTTTCCTGTAAAGGCTTGTGACATTCTGTGCAACTTTCAAAAAACTCACAATCAGGGCCATTCTCATAGGATTTATTGCACTCAGCACAAAACCTCTCCCATGCTTCTCTTTTCCCCAGGTACGTGTTACAGTTTTTACAGTATACCTGATACTCAATGTCAGAAGGGTTCACTGCATTCAACATTTTCTGGTACGTGGGCTTAGACAGGGGAATTTTCTTGCCACTGAACACACTTTTCCACATTTTTAAAATGTCGACCTGAGCGGCCCAGGTCAAACTGTGTCTGAGTCCAATCGACAGTGTCATAAATAGTATGTCACCAATAGTTGTTTTAACACATCTGCACAATGGTTCACTTAAGTCACTATTTTCTTTAGATGGTGGTGGATCCTCTTGACATTCATCACTACATTCTGCTTCAATAATATCATTTTCCATCAAAGGCACACAAGGCTGAGGTTCACGATCATGCACAACGCATGATTGCTCACTTTCTGGCCCCGTGTCAGACAGTGAAGCAGGGTCATCGGATGATCCTGTATTGGGATCAGTGTCACAGCGGTGAACTTTTGTGTTCACTTTACGCTTCTTCCTGCGTTTCAAAGTTTTGCCAGGCTCAGGTGAAACCTGAAATAAAAGAGAACAGAAGGTCAGCCAGTTTAATTATTAAATTCTGATTCAAGCAAGGTACAACTGATTAGGGCATGGTAAATTTACCTCATCATCGGTGGAAGTATCCTGAGGTGTAGTTGAGCCTGGGCACTCAAGCCGAGTCCTGGGACTTGAATCAACAGGTCTATGGGAATTGGCACTTAAATCAACCTGTTCCTCTTCTGCAGTCTGAACTACAGGTTCGACCTTTGACTTCCTTTCAGCTTCGATCTATAATTTTAAAGCACAAGAAAATAAAAGTTGGCTGCTGAGTGCTGAGAAACAATATCAGAAAATGCGGTGCAGAGAAAATGCAATCACCTGTGCTTGTTTTTTCCGACGTGTACACAGAGTTGATCTTGGTGGTGGTTTACCCACCTCAACATATGACTTATAAGTCCTCCGTTTTTTATCACCAGTCATTGTTGGTTGAGTTGTTAAACAAAGGTATGAGGCGAAATAATTACCAGGGAAGAGAAGGTTATGTGCACTGCCGCATCTGCGACAAAACCAAAGTTAAAACATATACACAAACAACTTCAGCGCTAGTAAAGTCACTGCTTAAAAATATAAATATGTAAACGGAAAACCACGCTGAATTTACTTCAAATTCTCACACAAGCTGTATCGTTTGTTTACGTACCTCGGATGTTGCGAGAAGTGGAAAGACCGGCTCTGCCAGAGGTTCGACTACAGGCTTCGTTTATTTTTCTAGCACACCTTTCGTGCACCTTACAGTGGCCAATAAGAGGGCGCGGGCGGTACATCAAGATGGCGGAAGTGAGGCTCCAAGATGGCCGGAGTCTCCCACAATGCACCGCGGCCATCACCTCTGTCACTATCTCTAGGTGACGCCGACGCCACCGCCACTCCGCCACTCCGCCGAACACCAAACCGCCGGCCGGTTGTTGTTGTTGTAATATTTTCTAAGTTTTGTCGTTTAAAATAATAATGACTTCCTTGCGCAAACGTCTATCTGCGCCTAAAGAAATGTTTGTTGCGGTAAAGTACTCAAAGCCCTACGAGAAGTACCCGAACGACGTATTTAGTGCAAAATGTATTACCCACCTTGTCGTTGGGCCTAAACCTGCACCTGGCGCAGATCGTCCTAAAGTCCCTTATCAACACTCACCAGGTGTTGGATTTGCGTCAGGGATGTTGTACGTCATCAGAACCGATAGAGACGCATTGGATAACAAAATGCATGATTATTACGTTTACATCGGAGCATGGTCAGGTATGTTTGTGAGGTTACGTTGCCCCAGTGCTTTGTGGACTTTTCACCACATATGAGCTTCACACCCCTGGTTTTCTAGAATTTAGCTGCAGAGAGCGACCCCTTATCATTTTCTCTTATGAAGACTTGCAATTTCTAAGCTTAATTTTTTTTATTATGCATGTTTTGTTGAGTGAAGATTGCCTGAGATTTACTCGGGCAAGAATTCTTACCTGACCAGCGAGCAAGGTTTTCTTTTCATCCCAACCCACAGTTTAGCCCATATGCACTGTTGGTCAAGTATTAGTATCGTCATTTATTGTTCTTTAAACATTATTTATTTTTACTTTGCAGAATCTGAAGAGGATTTGAGGTCCATTCTTGCTGATGAGACTCGTTCTGGAGAACTGTCTTGGCCACCTACCATCGAAGATACAAGTGAACTGGAATCTGGTTGTGAATCTGACGAGAAGTCAGTTCGAGATGGCCGAGTTCTAAATCAAGCAATAAACAATTCTGTAAGTATTTCTTTTTAACTTAATCTGAAGCATTCTTATAGAGTATTTCGAATGTTCAATTTATTTTTTCTTGTGGCGGGTTACAGAAGGATCTGAGATTAGCGCGGCAACAGTCTCACCAGAACCACTTGAGTGCACTAAAGTCTAACAGTCACCTTGATTTGAGTGGTCCGAACACTGGCATCCTGAGTGACCCAGGGATGACTTTAGAAAATCTAAGGAAGCAGGCTAAAGAACAAGCAGAGATCATTAAGAAAATGGAAGAGGAGTCTCAAAGAAGAAAAGAAGAGGATAAGAGGAGAGCCGAGGAGCTGAGTCAGAAAGAAGAGGCACTGAGAAAGAAGGAGGAAGAATTAAATGCAAACATTAAACGGATTGATAGTGTGTTTGTCTGCATACAGAACCTTCAGAGTGATGTGAGCTTGATAAAAGAAAAAATTAGTAAGTATGCAGTTTACAAGAAGAGTTATGTGCATGAGTGGGTGAGAAACTTACCAATCTTCTAAAATGAATAATGGGCCTGAGACAGCTGAGTATCCGTCTTGCACACAGTAGGAACTTTCGAATCTCCTTATTTATTTTAAACTTACTGTACTATTTGTTTCATATTTATTTTTGTTGTTTTACTGAATGTGTGGTCTATTTCATCATTGTTTTTCTGTTATGGATGAGTGACGCACTTTGTTTTCTATGCAAGTAATTTAAATCTACTTGAGTGTCTTTGCTCGCTCTTTAAATTAAGACCATTCTGCAAACCTTTTACATTTGCATAGTCTGGACGGAAAGATTAATCAGTATGTTCTCAACTGCTCTCAGTATGGCCCGGGAGAGGGATAGGTCTAGAGGAGAAAAGTAAGTTGGTGGTTTTTAGGAGAAATTTGAAATATTTATTACATCTTATGTGAAACTGGCCTGAGATTTGCTGAGTTACCATAGGTGAAATCTTACTACAGTGGAAAGCAGTCTAGTCCCTCTTGTTGTTCTATTCATTATCTTTCGTAACTATAGATTCATGGTCTGTTGTACATATCTAAACGCTAATAGTCATATATTTTATTGGAGATGTGATATTTTATTTAAATTTGGATATATTTTTCTGAGTGTTTGCTCTTTCACTATAAATAGTGGGCGCTGTGATATTTTACAAAAGTTGTTTGAATTCTGATCAAATCAGTGCATAGTAGTTCTAACCGACCTACTTCATATTATAATTTGAAGGGAGACATTGCGCTTTAGTTGACTGGACATGACATTTGCATGGTACAGGAAGATGCATCCAAATGGTCTCAATGCAGCTCTCTCAAAGGCCCAAAAAAAAAATTGATTTAAAAATAGAGAAGGATTGGAGGAAAGGGTAAGATTCTTTACAAATAGACTGCCATACCTAAGTGATTAGGGAGGGAGATATGGAGAGGTCTAGTTTGCTATGAACAACCAGTCATAAATGCTTTGTAAAGTTTTAAAAAAAAAGAGAAGCAAGGAGGTTGTGATGAGGGAGGGAGGGAGGGAGGGAGTGGAAAGGAGGTGTTAATTAAATGCAATTCTATGGTTTACACCTGTAAAAAAAATGGAAAGGATCGGGGACTTCAAAGCTGATGTTGGACTAAATATGATGCTTCGCATCATAATATTCTTAGTCAGTGGCGTCTGCCCAGCTCATTGGGCATATGAAAACAGGCTCATGCTGCTGTTGCCGCTCCTGCCTGCTGCCTCATGTTTTAGGTGAGATTTCATATCATATTGTGTGAAATCAACTAAACATGGTACATTTTACTTCAGTTTTTTTTTTTTTGAACATTTTAGTTTTAAGCTAACCACTGGTACTTTGCTGTTCCCAGGTGGAAGCAGCATAGCTTCTGGAAGCACATCTTCCTCCTTACATCAAGAGGAAGATATCTGGGAAAATGTAAGTTTCCGTAAATTTTTTAAATTTTGTTAATTTTTGTTTTTTCATTATAACAAGACCGATATTTCTTTTCAGTATCATGGCCTTAAAATAAGACGGCGGGTAATTCCTGGACTTGAAGAGGCACAAAAGGACCTCGACTTTTTTAAGACACTTCTTAAAGGATGCTTTGGTAAAGAAGCAAAGAACATGAGAATGTGCCATTCTCCAGGGACAACAAAAGTGACAGAAGATTGGCAGTTAGATGCCCAAGGTAAGTTCTTGTTAGTTTTATTTCTTGGTACTCAGGCACACTGATTATGTGTCATTGAGTCCATTGAGTGCTGCTTCTCATAGTTTTCTTTTTTTTTTTTAGTTGTCTTTGGGCATTGGCTGACAAACATCAAGAAGATCAATGGTCTTCCCCTTGCTGCCAGGGAAGTTGAGGCCAGGAAGAAGACTTTCGGGAAGATGGTGGGCGAGGCTGCTCGTGCCTTGTGCCCTGCGAGGGGGGTCAACCTTGTCAAACAGGAGGCTCGGGATAAGGGCCTGAGCAAAGCGGAAGTTCAGGCCGCCGCCCTAGCATACCAGGCCGGGCGGCCGAAGCGGCCGGCACGGGAAAGTGATGGCAAGGGGCCGACGAACAAGAAGGCCACCACGCAGGTTGTGTCGGTTGAGGCCAGGGTGAATGAGGGTCTGCAGTTGGGCACGGGCACGGGCCCTAACGAAAACTGGGAGAACGTCGACCCCACTTTACTTCCTTCGGGGCCTTCCGGCCCCGAAGTTAGACCGGTTAATAGTCAAACAGTGAACATGTTCTAAATGTACATAATTTTGTTCCTAAAAGGGGAATGTTGTTGTGCACACCCAGACCAAATGCAATTTTGTAGCTACAATTGTACAGATTAAAACGCCACAATTTGTCCAGTCTGGATGTGCACAATAACATTCTCGTTTTAGGAACAAAATTTCTGATGCTTTGAGAAGCATTTCTTTTTTCTTCCACATTCGGTGGATTGCTGGTCTGTTGTAAATGTTCTGTTAAATGTACATATTTTATATTCCAGGTGGATGATTAACCCCATTCACTTCTGTAGTTATGCTGTACCGCACGCACAAGTGCGGGCGGGCTTGCCTATCGCCCCTGTCCACGGCGCCTTACGGGCCGAGCGAGTAGGCAACCCGCTCGCACTCGTGCGTGCAGTACAGCATAACTACAGAAGTGAGCGGGGTTTATCAGTCACCTGGTATATCCATTTCAGCATAGTGTGCAGCATAATGGTCTTCTTGTAAATGTTCTGCTAAATGTTAATACCATTTTATAATTAAGAACTCTAAAATGAATTTGTATCACTTTATATATTGTCAATTATACTAAAACATTCATCCGACTGACTCTATTGTCATTTTAAGGATCCCCAAACCTTTTACGCCTCATTTAGTGACGGCCCCTTCCACAAAGTATGAAAATTTATGGATAAACCCCCACCGGTTATTTAAGGGAGAGGAAACACATTAAAAACCGAATACAAACTGGTTTGCAACAGTCTTTTTCGGGGAGCGGAAACCGAGTAAAAACAGCTTAGCAACAGTCTTTATCAGGGAGCGAAAACCGAGTAAAAACAACGTAGCAAC